GTGGCCCACGGAGCGACGGCGCGGACACGAAGATGATCTGCAGCACCCACAGGCGGATGTGCGAGATGGGGAAGGCCGCGTCGTAGCAGACGTTCTCGCAGCCCGGCTGCTGCGTGTTGCACACGAAGTCGGCCTGCTCGTCGCCCCACACCAGCTCGGCGGCCGTGCCCAGGATGAGGATGCGGAAGATGAAGAGCACCGTGAGCCACACGCGGCCCACGGCCGTGGAGTGCTCGCTCACCTCCTCCAGGATGTTCCCCAGGAAGCTCCAGTCGCCCATCGCTGGCCGCCTGCAGGGGAGGAGGCAGAGTGAGCGGCGGCGAGCGAGCGAGCGGGACTCTGCTGAGCCCGGGCCCCCTCCTCTCTGAGCGGCTGCTGCATCCCCAGGTGAACAGCATCTATTGGAGCTTCCTCCGCGCAGAGCAAGGCCAGGGGACCAAGGGGCCTCAGAGAATCTGCTTCTAGCAGCTCCGAAGATGAAGAGCACCGTGAGCCACACGCGGCCCACGGCCGTGGAGTGCTCGCTCACCTCCTCCAGGATGTTCCCCAGGAAGCTCCAGTCGCCCATCGCTGGCCGCCTGCAGGGGAGGAGGCAGAGTGAGCGGCGGCGGTGCGCCCCGAGCGAGCGAGCGAGTGAGCAAGCGGGACTCTGCTGAGCCCGGGCCCCCTCCTCTCTGAGCGGCTGCTGCATCCCCAGGTGAACAGCATCTATTGGAGCTTCCTCCGCGCAGAGCAAGGCCAGGGGACCAAGGGGCCTCAGAGAATCTGCTTCTAGCAGCTCCTGTATCTGTAAATTGGGTTGAATGTAATACCGGTTCTCACTGACTTCACAAGCCACCTAAAAGGGTCAATGTGCCGGGCCTGCGGGGCTCCGTGGTTGAGCGTCATGTGGAATGAACCGGGAGGTCACGGGTTCGATTCCCTGGTCAGGGCACATGCCCCTGTTGCAGGCTTGATCCCCAGGAGGGGGCGTGCAGGAGGCAGCCAGTCAATGATTCTCTCTCATCATTGCTGTTTCTCTCCCTTCCTTTCTGAAATCAATAAAACAATATTTAAAAAAGGATAAATGTGGGTATAATTTTCTGAACGTCACCCAAAATACAGATGCATTGTGGACCACAGATAGCAATCCATGGTTACGTGGAATTAAATCAAGGTCACAGGCAGGAAGAAGGGCCATGAGGCAGAATGCTAAGTCCCTAGGCCATGGGCGGCTGGGCCCACACAGAACCTATAGAGGTAGGACATGGACTGCAGCTCTCTTACTTTTAACATGTCAAGCTATATAATGATGGCCTGTTAGAAGAAAACTGGCAATTACTGAGTACTTTGCAATAGGCCTTGGACATGATATTATTTCATCTAATCGGAGGCTGACTGACCGCACTCTCTGTGAGGGTGTGGCCCCACCTGTGTACTCACAGCTGTGCACTCGTGCTTGCCACAGAGCCCAGCAGAGAACAGAGCCCCAGAAGCGACTGCCAACAGACTGCAGTCCCGCACAGGAGGGAACGGAGGCACAGGGAGGTCACACAGAGTCTAGGATATGCTGAGCAGCGGCAGTTCTGGCTGCCGGATTCCAAGGCGGTCTTTTCCCTGACACCTGGGAAATGCCTGCCAGGGGTCAGAGCGACGCGGTTCTCTGGCTCCCGTATCCTAAATTTATGTTTCCTTCCTCCAGGTTGAAACCTGGAGGCCATTCTCGACAGCTTTACAAACCGAGAACAGTATCTCACAATTGTTATTACTGCTCGGTTAGAGCCGCGGAAGGGGGAGAGTGCTGCGTAAGGAGTCATGTCTAGAGTACAGAAGGCCCGCGAGGACGGTTAGTGTCCCGCAGAATGAAAGGCGCCAGGGTCTGGAACGTGGTGGTTTAACAGCTAAAAACTGCCCGGTGACAACAAAAAGCCCACCATTAAACACGATAGTCTACGATGCCCTAGCAACAGCAACAGCAGCAACTCATGTCCATGGGGTAGGCGTGACAGCGGTGATGTGCACTGGGTCATCCACCCTGAGCCGCCTGGCGTGCAAGCTGTGGCCTCTGCAGGACGACGACGAACCTCCCGCTGCATGTTGGACAGACGCTCCTCCCGCGGACGCCTCTGGAGCTGCGGCATTTACTCATCGCTGCCCTTACCCCGGGGCAGGAGCCTCTCTGAGACCTCTGCTCTGGGCTCCTCCCAGCCTGTCCGTCCCACAGGATCCGAAGTCGCCTGGGGCCAAAGGAATACGACTTTTAAGGACAGTGATATTTGTTCAGCGCTTGAGTGAGTGGTGAAAGTGGGATCTTAAGTGAGGTGTGATTTTCAGCTTGAGGAAGAGGGAAACCAAAGGGCAAACTAAAGCCTCCTTCCAACCTGTGCTTCGGAGCTGGCCACCCAGCCCTTGGTTGCCAACACTGATTGCAGGCGTGAGCGACGCCCACCTTAGGCTCTCAGGGTACACACATCAGCTATGTGCTGCTTGTTGGGGAGCAGAGGGCTTTGTTCTTCTGGGAGCCCCAGACACCCCCAATTAGGCGAGGCCTCCAGCAGCAGCGTCTTTCCTCCCGGAGGGTGAGAGCCGCTGTGGCTCCCGGGCATGACTGGCGCGGGGAAGAGCTCCTGGGAGGAACGGGGAAGTGAGAGCGAGAGAGGGTCCTCTACTCAGCACCCGCGGTTCAGAATCTCAGGTGCATGGATCTAGTTCTGCTTCTGCTGCGAACGCTCCTCAGAGTTAAACCCAGTGCTTGGCCTGTGAAGAGTGGCAGCCGTTCACATCCTCCTCCAAAAAGACCCCACAAAAAAACAAAACAAAACAGAACAAAACAAATGGGAAACATCGCAATCAGGTAAGCAGCCCAAGTGTAAATCCTATTGGTGGTAGAGCAAAAATAAATAAATAAATGCATAAATTAATTAAATAAGTAAAACCAGAATTTCTTACCAAATAATGAATCCGAACATTCATGTTAAAACTGCAACTGCATTTTGCTCCTGTAAGAGCATGTCTGGCATTGATGTACTCGACTAGTAGGTCTAGCATTGCTAATGTTCTATCCCCACTGATATGTCAACACGGCTTTGAAATCTTACTTGTATCGCACCATACTAGTCCTGTGGGATTTCTGTGTCTATTTCACTCATGTGCCCACATGAAAGCATGCGGCAAGCACATGCCCTCGGGACTGTAGGTGAACAGTCTTGTTTTCCCCCATTGGGATCAAAGCTCTGGGAGACAGGTACCATGTCGTCTTCATCTTCCGGGAAGATCATGACACAGGACTAAGACCATCACAGAGGGGGAGCTCCACAGACACCAGTGGCGGGACCAACAGTAATGACCCGAAATGCGGAATTCCCAGTCCCCGAGTGCATGTCATATCAGTATCACTTAGCGTCTAGGGAACGCAGTCCCTTTGCTGCAGGGAGCAGTGGGAGATGGCAAACCAACAGCAAAGGATAATAAATTGATCCCAAAGTTGCTGCTTGGAGACAGTGTTTTGGATTAGATCAAACATGAGCGTCATGACACATGTTCAAGACACATGAAGACCCTCCTGACCACCCAACTGGTACTTTCTAAACTCAAGCCAGACAAGCTGCCTCTCACACACCCCTCCCTGCGATGCTAGGGCTATTTGTGTGTGTTTTTGTTTTTAAAGTCTAGTTACAAGGTAAAAAGGAAGGAGGGGAACTGTAACTTAGGACGGAATCTTTTCAAGTCCATGTCGTTGAAGCAGGTCCGGTGTGCTGTTAAGGAGGGCCCAGGGCACGTGCCTTAGGGTCCTGGTGTCTGACAGCACAAATTACACGTGAAGGAAGTCAGCAAGCAGCTCCCCTGGAGCCTTGGGGAAGCTGAAAGAGTGTTTCTCTTCTCTTCTTCAAAGATGCGATTCTCTGTTTTCTTTTGCTTGTGAACATTTAGTGAACAGATGGAAACGGAACCGTGGAGTTCCGGCTTCCCGCCCCAGGCCATCCGCCAGAGCATCCCGCCAGGGACCTGGTTTTCGGTAACGATGAAAAGAACACCTCAGGGCTGGGTAGCCCTTATCTAGTTATGAATGACATACTCTCACATATCGGATTTTAGTCCTCATAACATCCTGTGAACTAGGTCAGTGATTCCCAGACCTGGATTTCACAGACTAGAACAACAGCAACAACAACAACAAAAGGGGGTGACCAGCATAGGCTGCCAACTTCTTATTTTGCCAAGCCAGGACGTAAAAATGAGACACTTATTAAATCACTAACTATGACTACAGTCTGCTTTCACCATCATTTCATAAAAGGAGAACTTTAATACCACACAACTAGAAATAATATAATTTCAGAACGAAAGACAGGCCTTTAAGTCAAACACATGTAACGAGGTGGAAAGTTTACTACGCTGTTTGCTACTCCGTTCTCACCTTTCTGTCACAGGCTGCTGAAAAATGCACTGGGACCAGAACTGACAGGTCCACAGACAGATGCTTGAGAACTAGTGAACTAGGCATTAGTAACTCCCATCACCAGGTAGGGAGACAGACGAGGAGGTAAAAGAAGTCTCCTACGATGGCTCAGCCTGTGAGGGCAGAGGGGGATGTGGGCCATTGTTTTCCAGCGACAAGCTCAGGGCAATTTCCAGTACAGCACAGATTTCTCCTGGCTTTGAAGAGGCAGACTAACACCTCCATATCCGTATTAACAAGTTCCCCAAAGGATTCGATGGCCACTTACCATGCCGGCTGGTAAGGGACTGTGACTGTGCCTGCATTCATGTTTCTAGAGCATTCTCTTAGCCAGTAGCTCCTGTGAGAGACAACAGAACCTACCCCCAGGCAGAGTTTTACAGTCCTGAGCCAGACCCCTTCCTGTGATCCGTGAAGCACCCCAACATTTAAAATGCTGAGCACGAAGCCTCCCCGGCCCCCACAGCACTCAGTAGTGATCACTGTCACTGCCATTGCAGAGGCTGAGTGAAAAAGTGCAAAACTCTTTCATAAACATCAAATACACGCCCCTGGATTCCTGGAGGCCTGGTCATTCATTCTGCAAACGGAAACGACCCTAACCAGTCCAATTGTAGTTAGATTTTGGACATCTCTGAGCCCCCCTCACCCCCATTCCCACACTCCTTCCCTTTCCACACCTCTGCCAACTCTTCGGCCAATTCCAAGAGGGTTTTCAGAATTGAATTCTCAGTCCAGCCATCCCAACCCAAGACCCCATCTTAGCGGCAAGCTTTTCCCTTTCGGAGAAGCCCAGGAATGGCCCTTCGATTAGGCTGGGAAAGAAGTGGGTGGGGATGGGAAGGCTACAGACTAATATCACCCAAAGCAAACCTGCCAGTGAGAGGAGG